TCCACATCCTTGCCAACACTTGTTATTTTCTGTTTTTGTTTTTTTTTTTATCATAGCCATCCTAATGGATGTGAAGTAGAATCTCATTGTGGTTTTGATTTGCATTTCCCAAATGACTAGTGACATTGAGTGTCTTTTCTTTCATGTGCTTTTTGGTCTCTTTATGTTGTCTTTGGAGAAATAACTATTCAAGTCCCTTGCCTCACTTTTTTATTGGGTTGATTTTTGTTGCTGAATTGTAGGAATTCTTTTTTTTTTTTTTTTTTTTAAGAAACTGGTTCTTGCTCTGTCACCCAGGCTGGAGTGCAGTGGGTGTCATCATAGCTCACTGCAGCCTCGGGCTCCTGGGTTGTCATCCTGCCTTGGCCTCCTGAGTAGCTGGGACTACAGGCAGGTGCTACCACACCTGGCTAATTTTTCTTATTTTTTGTAGAGACTGGGGGGTGGGGAGAGTGTCTCACTATGTTGCTTAGGCTGATCTTGAACTCCTGGCCTCAAGCAATCTTCCCACTTTGGCTTCTCAAAGTGCTGGGATTATAGGCGTCAGCCATTGCACCCAGCCACATGGTTTCTTATTAGAGAAATGTGAAAGCCATTTTGAAGTTAGAGAGCTTTCTGAACTATAACAATGCTTTATCTTTATAATATATTTTTGTTTCCAAAGCCCCTTTGTCTTTATAATTCTAGAATTTGCCTTTTCCTTCCTTAAATAGATTTTTTAAAAAAGGTATGTCATGCTTACTGTGGAAAACTTTGAAAATACGGTATAGTGTCAAAAAAAATTACCAGTAATCTGTTCAGAGATTATCAACTATTAATTTATTGGTATAGTTTATTTTCATTCTTTGTATGTGTATGTAGTTGAGTCTATATGTACAGTTTTGTTTACTGTGCTTTTCACTTAACATAAATATTTTTCTATGTCATTCAGAGTTTTTCATAAAAATGTTTAATGACGTGGAAAAGTCATTTTAATTAACTTTTTTAGAGAGAGGGTCTCACTATGTTACCCAGGCTGGACTCCAACTCCTGGGCTCAAGCGATCCTCCCATCTCAGCCTTCCAAGTGACCGGGACTACAGGCATGCCCCACCATGCCAGGCTTGGGAAACTCATTTTAAATGGAAAAAAAGATATAAAACAACATATTTTATAACCCATTTGTGTAAAAAATACATGTTTCTATGTTTTATATAAACATGGAAAGCTGACTAAAAATATACTAAAGGGTCACAGTGGTTATTTCTGATTTATAAGATCATGGATAGCTTCAGTTTCTTCCTTCCTCCTTTCTGTATTTTCCAGTTTTTTTTTTTTTTCAGTTAACCTGGATTACTTTTATAATTTGGAGGAAAAACAAAATTGTCTAATTTTTTAAATCTAGGAAATAAGCTTTTTCCCTTCTCCTTTCCATTACACCCAGATAATTTATTGGTTGCATAGTATTCTTTTAGGAATGTTTCATAATTTATTTACCAATAATTGTATTTTGTTACAACCAATAGTTGTATTTAATATGTTTTATTACCATTTATTATTAGCATATTTTACTGTACCATTTATTACCATACTTTATTTAACCGTTTCTTATTAAACATTTAGGCTGTTTCAATTTTGACAATTAAAAATAATATTACAGTGAACATTTTTGTCTACAGCATTTTTTTAAAGTGAGAAATACATTGTGTGATGCCTTTTCAGTAGCTACATGAGTAACTCTAACATTTACTCTTGCTCTTTGTTAGAATCATGATTGAAAGGAGTCTAAATGTTTTATCTGTTATTGAGTATTTCCTCTTTCTGTTATGAGTAGGTTTTGCAGCCACTCTGGATGATGACAAACCTTGGTATTCTATTTTTCCCATTGACAATGAGGATCTGGTGTATGGACGCTGGGAGGACAATATTATTTGGGATGCTCAGGCCATGCCCCGGCTGTTGGAGCCTCCTGTTTTGACACTTGATCCCAATGATGAGAATCTTATTTTGGGTATGTTACCGGCGGAGGCCAGTGTTCCTTTTCCAACTTTGACAGCTTGCTGTTAATGTCAAGGGGCAGGGGGAAATCAGAAGGGTTGGGGAAGGTTAAGACTAGAAACTCCAGATAGCAGTTTGAGAGGGCAAAGTTGTGGCTGTCAGTTTGTAGTATTTGTGTATCGTTTAGGGAAAACTCATGTAGGAATGTTGGAAAGTGGAACCTTTGCAGTGTCAGCGTAGTTTGTTCAGTTAGAGTGAATCATGGATTAGATTTGGTCTGGAATGGGATGAGATAGCTAGTTAGGAACTGCACAGATGTCGGTACAAAAGGTAAATCTTCAGGGATAGCAACTCTAGAGTGATTTTTGTTTCATCCTCAGAAATTCCTGATGAGAAGGAAGAGGCCACCTCTAACTCTCCCTCCAAGGAGAATAAGAAGGAATCATCTTTGAAGAAGAGTCGAATTCTCTTAGGGAAAACAGGAGTCATCAAGGAGGAACCCCAGCAGGTCTGTGAAGAGAAAAGGGGCTTGATGTTTAGAGCAGAGAAAGGTAATGAAGATTGGTAGTCTGACTAAGGCTTATTTCATGATCTATCATTAGAACATGTCTCAGCCAGAAGTGAAAGATCCATGGAATCTCTCCAATGATGAGTATTACTACCCCAAGCAACAGGGTCTTCGAGGCACCTTTGGAGGGAATATTATCCAGGTATAAATATTATCTTTTATATGATGGAGGGGAACCTCTTGCTTTGTTCTGATGGAGGATTTGGGAAATCTTGGCCTAGGCTGGAGTTAATACTAATTTTAAATACTAAAAAATACTTCTGTTTCTTGTTTTAGCATTCAATTCCTGCTGTGGAATTACGGCAGCCCTTCTTTCCTACGCATATGGGGCCTATCAAACTCCGGCAGTTCCATCGCCCACCTCTGAAAAAGTACTCCTTTGGGGCACTATCTCAGCCAGGTCCCCACTCAGTCCAGCCTTTGCTAAAGCACATCAAAAAGAAGGCCAAGGTATAGTTGAATTCTGGGTAGAAAAAAACAGCTTTGAAAGATATTGGGGTACAAATGGGGGGAATATACTGGATTATATCAGAGAATTATTTTCTCCCATGTATTTATTTATTTTTTATGGTTTTTGGAGACAAAGTCTTACTCTGTTGCCCTGGCTAGAGTGCAGTGGTGTCATCATAGCTCACTGCAACCTCAAACTCCTGGGCTCAAGTGATCCTCCTGCCTCAGCCTCCCAATTAGCTGGGACTGCAGGTGCATACCACCACACCTGGCTAATTTTTCTATTTTTTGTAGAGATGGGGTCTTGCTCTTGCTCAGGCTGGCCTCTAATTTGGGAGCTCAAGCAATCCTCTTGCCTTGGCCTCCCAGAGCGCTAGGATTACAGGTGTGAACCACTGCACCCAGCCTCTCCTATGTATTTATTTCGTACTATGTGATAGGATGTGATTTTGGTTATTTAGGAGAATGTCCTTATTAGGGAGTGCATGTGAAAGTATTTAATGGTAAAGTATCACAATTACTACAACTTTTAAAAATGGTTCAGCAAAATCTGTAGAAAGACAGTTATAGATAAATATGGCAAAATATTATAAACAGTTACGTGGTGGTAGGATAATAGGTATTCATAGTGTAGTCTCCCTCAGTATCTCTGAGGGATTGGTTCCAGGACCTCCTATGGATACCAAAATCCTCGGTTGCTCAAGTCTCTGATATAAACTGGGAATGGTATTTGCATATAACCTATGCACATCCTCCCATATACTTTAAATCATCTCTAGATTACTTATAATACCTAATACAATGTAAAAGCTGTGTAAATAGTTGTTACAGTGTATTGTTTAGGGAATAATGATGAAAAAAGTCTGTATTTATTCAGTGCGGATGCAATTTTTTTTTCCAGATATTTTTGGTTTGTGGTTGGTTGAATCCATGGATGCAGAACCCACAGATATGGAGGATTGACTGTACTATTCTTTCAACTTTACTATACAGAATGTTTCAAAATTTTCGTAATGAAATTGAAAAATAGCAAAGTAAAATCTTTTTTGGTGTGTTTGTCTCAGATTGAATGCATCAGTGTGTGTAGTTAGTGTCCTATCAGCAGCTGGTCTGTATTTTCTTTGTTCTGGGCAGATGAGAGAACAAGAGAGGCAAGCTTCAGGTGGTGGAGAGATGTTTTTTATGCGCACACCTCAGGACCTCACAGGCAAAGATGGAGATCTTATTCTTGCAGAATATAGTGAAGAAAATGGGCCCTTAATGATGCAGGTTGGCATGGCAACGAAGATAAAGAACTACTATAAACGGGTGAGTCTCTGCTCAAATTTTTGTTATTAATATAGCTATAGTTAAATATCTAGTGATAAACTATGAGCATGTATTTTGTCTTTTTTATATTATAAATTTTGGGGGAGAAAGGAGTAGTATCTTTTTTGGAGTTAGTAATATAGGGTGAACATCCCAAATTTGAAAATCTGAAATCCGGAACTAAAATCCAAAACTTTTGAGCGCTAACATGAAGTTCAAAGGAAATGCTCATTGGATTTTGGATTTCCAGATTTGGGATGCCCAGCTGAAGTATAATATAAATATTCCAGAATCCAAAACACTTCTAGTCCTAAGCATTTTGGATAAGGGATACTCAACTTTATTAGTAAATTGCCATGCTCATGGAATATATTGTGTAGGATTATTGATTGTATTATATTCTGTGATAGTAACTGGATCTGCTGTGTTCCTCATAGAAACCTGGAAAAGATCCTGGAGCACCAGATTGTAAATATGGGGAAACTGTTTATTGTCATACATCTCCCTTCCTAGGCTCTCTCCATCCTGGGCAATTATTGCAGGTGAGGAATTCCTTCCTGTTTTACTTTTTTCTAAGGAAATTGACAGATGAGTCAGCTCAGAAAGAACCAATTTTAGTTGATTGAGAGACTATTGTGTATCAAGTATGGGGAAGATGAGTATAATTCAGAAATGTTTTTTAAAAAATCTTTTTCTTAAAACTGGCTCTTAGTTGTGTTGCTCTTAGGCTAAATACGTTTTTTGAAAACTGGGTAAGCCCAATAACATTTGGATGGCATAGGGAAGCCAACCTAGGATATTAATAATTTACTGTAATTTATGAATGTTTAATTCCTGTGTGAAATTGGTGCATTTTGACCATATTAGTTTGATTATTGTGAGTATTGAACCACACCTGAACTGTGCCATCTATAGTCCCCAGCCATAATGAAATGTTTTTTTTTTTTCCCTCCTTTGTTCTAATGGGTGTGGAGAGGTCCTCTGGTCACAGCTTTTATATATTCAAGGTGAAGTATGGAGGTCCACAAATTATGTGGGGAAATCTCTAGCACTCTTGTATCTTGTTTTTTTCCTCCACTTCATTTCTTTTGGGAACCTCAGCCATTTTCCCTACTCTTAAACCTAGTTTATTCCACTATTGCTATTGCTTACTCTCCTAAAGAACCTGCAAAGCCTATTTTTTCTATATTTTTTACATCTGTAGTCCATTTCCCACCAGGTTTTGAGTATCATCTTTATACTGTCCTTGGCATTCCTCCACTGTAATTTTCTCTTGAGGTTTTTTTCTATTGAGGTTTTCTACCAATCCATTCCCTTCTTTTGTGGCTACTTTTGTAGTCTCTTAAACATCCTTTCCTATCTTTTCCTGTAGTTCTTTTTCTGTCTACATTTCACATTGAGAATTTTCTTTCTACACCCATGTAATGAAGATCTTCCTTTCTGTCCACTCTTCTGATTTTCTGGAGAGACATTCCTTAGACTCACAGGCTTCTTGTAACAGTTAATCCTCATCTGGCTTCTGCTCAAACTACTTGATAAATGTTTCTGTTCTGCTGTCCTCTGTCCTACTGTCCGGTGTTTTCCTTTGTGTTTATTCTGTCCTCTCTAACATAGTTTGTACCTCATTAGTTATTTTTTGTTTTTGTTGTTTTATTTTTTAATTAATTCACTAGTTTATTCAACACATGTTTTGATTTCACCTGTTGTGTGTCAGGGGCTATGTTGGGGTCTAGGGTAGTACTGTAGTACTTATTAGTTTATAAGGTGATTTTCATATATACCCTTCATAGCAATCCTATGAGGTATAGACATTTTAAGTAACTCCATTTTGTAGTTGAGGAAAGTGAATCTCAGAGAGATTAATTAACTTGTCTGATATCATACAGGTAATGACAGCCACCATCACCTGAATCCAAATCCTTTATTTTCTTCACTACTGACACTAAAAGACAGTGGATAAAAAATTGTTTAATCCCTTTCGATATTCCATGTTATAATTTGTTTATATTACTGGATAGACCTTAGATGGCATAATGCAGATGGAGAGCAACAAGCTTAAATTTCCTTTTTCATTAATTGACTGAATTTACTAGGGTTTTTCTGTATATAATTTTTATGTTTTTACTTCTGCTAGGCATTTGAGAACAACCTTTTTCGTGCTCCAATTTATCTTCATAAAATGCCAGAAACTGACTTCCTGATTATTCGGACAAGACAGGGTTACTATATTCGGGAATTAGTAGATATTTTTGTGGTTGGCCAGCAGTGCCCCTTGTTTGAAGTTCCTGGGCCCAACTCCAAAAGGGCCAATACACATATTCGAGACTTTCTGCAGGTAAGACTGGGAAGATAGGAAATGGGTCAGGATGTATATAAAAAGGGTATGTGGGAGCACATCAGGAAAGACGAAAATGTTGGAGCTTAGTGGGGGAAGAGGCCGTATGAGAACTTTTATTCTTTGCCAAATAAAATACATTTGGTTTGTTGGGCAGGTTTTTATTTACCGCCTTTTCTGGAAGAGTAAAGATCGGCCACGACGGATCCGAATGGAAGATATAAAAAAAGCCTTTCCTTCCCATTCAGAAAGCAGCATCCGAAAGAGGCTAAAGCTCTGCGCTGACTTCAAACGCACAGGTCATCAGTTGTGAATAGTTAGTTATTTGTCCTGTCTACCTCTTTCCAAGAAAAGAATTACGGGCCAAGTGTGGTGCCTCATGCCCATAATCCCAACACTTTGGGAGGCCAAGGCGGGAGGATTGCTTGAGACCAGGAGTTCGAGACCAACCTGAGCAATATAGCAAGATCCTGTCTCTACAAAAAAATTTTTTGAAAAATCAGCCGGGTGTGGTGGTGCATGCTTGTAGTCCTAGCTATTTGGGAGGCAGAGGCAGGAAGATCACTTGAGCCCAGGATTTTAAAGTTGTAGTGAGCTATGATCGTACCACTGTACTCTAGCCTGGGTGACAGAGTAAGACCCCGTCTTTAAAAAAAAAAAAAAAAGAATTATGATGGCTTTCACTTAAAAGATAAGCATACAGCTAATAAAATAGAAATTGTTGGCCATCAAAGGTAGGAGGTAGTAAATCTGACTATGGAGGCTCTGATTACTTTTTTGATTTTGGCTGCCAGGAAATTCAGTGTGTGATGTCTTATATGTAGGAAACCTTAGCAGCAGGGGTTTTCTTGGCCAGTCAGGCCAACTGTGGGTAGGCCTGTTACCATCTAGATATTGCCTGGTTCAGTCTTGGTTTGCTATCCCTGTTGCTGTCAATGAATGTCAGGGCCTTTGGAATTCAGAACAGTCTCATTCTCTCTTTCTCTCTGCATCGTTTCCAGGGATGGACTCAAACTGGTGGGTGCTGAAGTCTGATTTTCGTTTACCAACTGAAGAGGAGATCAGAGCTATGGTGTCACCAGAGCAGTGCTGTGCTTATTATAGCATGATAGCTGCAGAGCAGCGACTGAAGGTGAACACCTTCCTCTTAGGCACTGCTTGTGCCTGTGTTGTTTTTCAGAGAGATAGGAGAGAAGACTCTCTTTCTCACTGACTTAGAGATGGTTACTAGATTGTTACCAGTTACTAAAAAATTCAAACTGTATGAGGTGCTCCCTGTGTATATCAGTTCTGGGGAAAACTACAACATAGCTAAATATCGGTGAGAAGGCTTAATGAGGGACTTAAGCCATATTGCTTTGCTTTAAAAATAGTTGCTCATCCATCTGAGTGACTTTAATCTTTCCTCTTTGCAAGACAGGCGTATAAGCAGGGAAAGTACTTGTTAGCTTCCCAAGTGGGCAGAGATGATAATGGTGTTAGATGTATGGTTTAGAGAAGGACAGAATCCTTATAAGGCCAAAATAGAAAAGATCCAGCTGGGTGGGACAGTATAGCTCTGTCCCACTGAGTTAATGAGTCTCAGTTAATGAGCACCTCTGTTTAGCTTCCTTATAGGCCCTAACTATCTGTATATTAGCTAGTAAGTTCCTTGGAATGTGGTAATATGTCTTCTAATAGCTTAAGGATTGTACAGTGGTGGTAGATACAGTGAAGACTTTACAGAATTCATTCTCTATGCAAAATAAACTTTGATATTCTGCACTTGGTATTCAATAAAACTTGTGCTTCGTATTTTTCAATTGACTGATTTATGACATGGATTTGTCCTCTTCTAGGATGCTGGCTATGGTGAGAAGTCCTTTTTTGCTCCAGAAGAAGAAAATGAGGAAGATTTTCAGATGAAGATTGATGATGAGGTAAGACTTTACACTAATTTTTATTAGTGCATCTCAGTTATCCTTTTTAAAGAAACAGCATTATTGAGATAAAATTGACATACAATAAATTGCACATAAAGTATACTATTTGATATGTTTTGACATGTTTAAATCTGTGAAATCCTCATGACAAAATAATGAGCGTACCTGTCACCCCAAAAAATTTCTTTGTGCTCTACTGAAATCCCTTTCTCCTGCCTCTTCCTTTCCCTACCCTGTGTCTGTCCCCTGGCAACCACTGATCTGCTTTCTGTCACTATAGATTACTTTGTATTTTCTGGAATTTTAGATCATGAAATCATACAGTATGCTTTTTTAAAAAAATTGTGGTAAAATATATATAATATAAAGTTAAACATCTTAACTTTTAAGTGTACGGTTCAGTAGTGTTAAGTACATTCACATTGTTTGGCAACTCGTCTCCAGAACTCTTTTCATCTTGCAAAACTGAAACTCCATACCCATTAAACAACAACCCTTCCCATTTTCTCCTCTCCTCAGCCCTTGGCAACTACCATTCATTCTACTTTGTTTCTGTGAATTTGACTACATTAGATACCTCATGTAAGTGGAATCCTATAGTATTTGTCTTTGTGACTGGTTTATTGTTCTCAATAAATAGCATAATGTCCTCAAGGTTCATCCATGTTGTAACATATGTCAGAATTTCTTTTTTTTTTAAGGCTGAATAATATTCCATTGTATGTATATACCGCTTTTGTTTATCCATTCATTCGTTGATAGATATTTTGGGTTGCTTCTACCTCTTGGCTATTGTAATAGTGCTGCTGTGCACGTGAGTATACAAATATCTCCTCAAGACCATGCTTTCAGTTCTTTTGGATATATACCCAGAAATAGGATTAGTGACTCCACATAGTAATTCTAATTTTTAATTGTTTAAGGAACCTGCTTAGTGTTTTCCATAGCAGATGCAGCATTTTGCATTCTCACCAGCAATGTACAAAAGTTCCAGTTTCTCCACATCCTTGCCAACACTTGTTATTTTCTGTTTTTGTTTTTTTTTTTATCATAGCCATCCTAATGGATGTGAAGTAGAATCTCATTGTGGTTT